TCGTGTCACTAGACTATGCAGTCTTTCCACAACAAACCTCGATATGCTCTAACATAAATCATTTATATATCCAACATTGTACACCTTCCCCATACAACCTCCATAGTTTAGATCTTATTCTTACATAGTTTCTTTAATATTCAGTCAAGTGTTTTAGTAAAGACCATCGCGAGTCAGATCGCAAGGATTATGTCATATACACAAATTTCCATGACTAGAGATCATGGGTAGTGTGAGTAAAATATAGAATATATGTATTTTTCTGCCTTGAAATTGACTAATAGCGTAATATAAAACTCACAAATAAAAACAATACATGCGCGTTCGTACGAAATTTAGTAGTAAGTCGACAAGCAGTCAAGTGAATATCTATTTGCTTAGTTGACTATAGTCGCCCTTCTTCAATTATAATGCTGACATTGATCGAATTAACTTAGAATTCTTGGTTTCAAAAGCTATTCACATCAAAATTAATCAACATCATTGATCGCAATTGCGAAAGTATATATGAGATAAATTCACCTTATTTTGTTTAAGGTGATGAAAAGGTGACAGTAAAATTATCCCACAATTATATGAGTAGAACTGACGTTTCCATTGAATTTCATATAGCCTTGCTTCCCAAAAAGTTGTTCTCATCCAGGATGGACTGCAGGTTCGACCTCGCATCGGTCTTATCAGCACCCCCAGCAAGAGTCGAACAGTGACAGTGCAGCATGTGAACTTGAAACGTTAACCACTCGGCCATATTTCCACGAGTGCCCTTGGGTCAAAAGGCAGATGTCAATTTCAAGGAAGTCAAGGCCTTTTCCCATATCACACTCTTTGGTGGTAACAGGGTAAATACATATCATATTATGGTAATCTCGAAATTCTACTTATATACGAAAAATGAGTAATTTAGTCGATTGTTATAGTAAACATACCTTTGCTTCATCAATCATCTCACCAATGAATGTGATATGGGAAAAGACCTGGCCTTCTTTGATAATTACATCTGCCCTGTGACACAAGGGCAGTCGTGGCAATGTGTCCGAGTGGTTAAATGTGAAGCTCACATGCTGCACTGTCACTGTTTGACTCCCGCTGAGGGTGTTTATAAGACCTATGTGAGGTCGAAATTGGAGACCACCCTGAGTGAGAACAACTTTTGGGAAAGTAATGTTATGTGAAATTCAATGAAAACTTCAGCTCTACTCATGTCATTGTGGGAAAATCCCACTACCAGTGCCTCATAGTCTGTTCAAAAAACTGGTTTCAGGAATAAACTATAGATTTCGCCTGACCTAAACAAAATAGAGTTAAACAAGAATTTTTTCATCAACGTAAACGAAATAGGGTGATACATCTCATATAACTGATTTACTGGTAGTCTCGAAATTTTATTTATGTACGAAAAATTGTGAACATGTTTGCGTAATCAACAATCCCACTATAAAAATGTGAGTTGGCTTCCCTTGAATGTCGTATCTGCCCTGTCATCAACTAGCACCCGAGGCCGTAGTGGAATGCTAGTGTCGTTAAGGTACTTACGACCCTATATCAAATCCCGTTGATATGACGATGAGACCTAAGCGAGGTCAAAACTGCCTGGATGAGATAGCCTTTTTGGAGGCAAGGCTAAATGAAATTTAATGACATCCTCTGGTCCTTAAATATCATTTCGGTTTTAAATCGTAGACAAAAAAACAGAAAAAAATACTAAAAGTAATAAATAATAATAAATGATAATAATAAATAATTGACTGGACCTGGCTTGCAATACTAGTTTCCTTTCGACGAAGTATCTCCTGAAAGGCACTCCATTCGCCTTGGACATTTTCACAATCTAACCAGTTTGCTGGAAATTGGAAACGGTCTCTATAGAGAATATTTTGCCCAGCTCTATAGTGCTCAATTTGTTTCGCCCAAGTTTTGACTTTTCGTTTGATAGATTGGGTGTACGTTATCATGTTAACGGCATCTGATGTGCTTCCAGCATCGATTGAGTGCTGCTCCAACTCGTTTCGTGCCTGAATAGAAGTATATAGGTTATAGTTGCTTATAAATTAATTGCGAATAGACCTCAGTAATTTTGGCGAAGATATGAAAATATTATATCGAAAGCTTGCTATAATAAGGAATTAACATGATAAATTCGTTGTTCAAGTGCTTGGCTGCAGAGGCCCTTAAGATATACCAAGAAAGCCTCATCGTGTATTCAAAAAACTGGTTTCAGGAATAAACTATAGATTTCGCCTGGCCTAAACAAAATAGTTAAACAAGAATTTTCAACGATAAGCGTTAATGAACCAAAACCCAGTTGCATTGGTCGAGATATGGAGGAAATGGACGAAGTTCTAAACAAAGCATTTCGTTTTCGTTTCGCATCTAAACATAGGATGAACGTCAAAGTAAGCTTGTATCTATTCATGTACAATTCATGTCGATTTGAATAATGCTGTATCATGGATTTAATAATTCAATGACACTGAAAGGACTTATGTGTCGATGGAATAGATAGCAAAAGTCCAGTTATATAGCATATAAACTGATTTTGTGGTTCAGGGATAATGAGGGCATGATATTTAAATTAAATTTTGGAGGAATAAAGCAGAAAAAACTAGACAGATATTGGGAAGAGATAGAGGAACATCATTATTTCACAATGTGGACGAATCCACAGTCTCATTCCACTTTGATCATTCTCACCAAAACTTCAAGAACGCCAGTAAAGCATTTCACTTTATTGGGTCTACAATAGTAAATGGAACGTAAATTGGTGTGGAATGCAAATTTCAGACTAGTGCTTCTATAATCCTCAGTAAAAAGGAAGAAATCGTTAACACGAAGTAACCACTTAAAATAAATTAATGGCAAAAAGTCAAACAGCAAAAATTAAGGAATTAATTACCTTGGAAACTTGAGTGTAAAATTCCTGCATTTCTTGTCCCAAATTACTGCCAAACTTACTGAGGATATCCTTGTGCCAATTGTCATATTTGAGAGAGACCTTCGATTGCACCTTGCCAAACATTACTATGATTGGACCAAATAACTTTTGCGTCTCTGCAACATCGAAATGCTTACGCATACCCTTGATTTCATCAAGAACGTTCATCCATACCTATAGAAAAGAGTGGTAAATAAATATAATAATAATTAATCCGCAAGCAACTAGAAGTATAATTATATGCAATAGATCCAGCAAATCACCTGTCTCTTAGTTGATGAAAAAACATATAACTTATCAAGTTCCTGGTTGAAAAAGCCTATACTATTTTGAAGTGAGACAGTTTCATGATCGCAAAAGTTGAGTGAACTCATATCGGGTTAACATCATTAAAAGAAGATGCCAATCAACCAGCCTATCATTGTTTCGCACTTGAACAAAAGTTCACAAAGAATTCGATAAACACCTGAGGTGGGTCTGTTGAAACAAAAAATAATAAAAATTTATTCATATTTACTGTGATTTTAATGTATCTTTTTATCTATTTAATGTCATTCGACCTCTCATTTCATATTAAAAATTGGATTGAAAGGCGTCGTAAGGTGGTATCATCAGAAGCCAGAACCCACTAAATTATTTTATGCTTATTCTAACGTAGCTTCTATGGATGAATCCTCCTATGATCCTGATCTACCACGGCTGAACTATCGTCACTGTCACTCATACAAGCATGGGCAGGGCGAGAACAAATTCTTTAACGAAATTTGCCGTACACTAGGCCAAAAATTGTGGCTAGTCGTAACCATGCCTGCCCCTTACAGCTTAGTCTAGATATCTTAATTTTCAACAGAAATAAAGTTTATTCTTTTATTTACCTATTTGGGGATAAAAGAGGCTCATAAGAGTATGGCCTAATATCAATTTCCTTCCCTAATTACCTGCAAGCTTAAGATATCAAGGCAAAACCAGAGTATAAAAGTCGAAACAGGGTAGCGTATAAAAAGGTATCTTTGAATGTGAAATCTATAGAATGTAGTCAAATAGCCGCAGCCTGCGAAAAATATTTCTAATTCAATTAGGAAAGAAAAATGATGAAAAAAAAATTAATAATAAATAGTATAATAAGCAGGACAATGAAACAAGTGATATAAATTAGCCAAGGAATTAACTTGCCTGCACATCAGTCCCAAGTCGTTCGTAAACCTGATCAGATTGTAGGTCCCAGAGAGCCTGGTAACGCGTCCAAGTGCGCACATACTCGTCAGTTTCTCGAATCACTTCAGAGATGGCACGATGCGTGGACTGGAGGACGTCTCCACCGTCGCTGAGATGACATATTAATCGGCGATATGTTTTCTGCTGCTCAGCCTCTGATTCAACTCCGACCTGCAAATGCGGAGCGTTAGATGGCAAAATTACCAATTAAATTAAGGTCAGATATGGCACTAGTAGAAATAAAATGCACGGAGATTACATGATGATATATAATCAGTAAGGTAAAGAAGCTATATATTTGGACAAATGGTCAATAAGACAAAAAATGAAAATTAGAAATGTGAAGATCTATACAAAAAGTTAAATCTGCTTGACTAGTCTCAATACCTGGTATCGTGAATGCTGAATACGTGGCAATGTCAATATTATATTCTTCCAATCAGCAAGGTTATTAATCAACTCTTGGCGAGCCACTTCGATGCTGGGGTGCAGGTGCATTTGTTGATTAGTAATACGGAGCTCATGAACAAGCGTCTTGATTTCTGGATTACCGCCTGGCTTGTGTTTGGTGAGAGGAGTAATTTCATCATTTTCTTCGTCCTCCTTTTCCAAAAAAATGTAGAAATAAATTTACGACAATATGTATATAAGGGAACCATGTTTCGAAAAAAGACAAATTAATAAAATCCTGCAACAAAACATTTAGAGCTCAAAGATAAGGCCTATAGTAAAATTTAATTGACAAATAAGACCACTTGACAATAATAAGTAAATGAAAAGTATTTCTTTTTCGTCTGTAAGTAGGTTTTTGAGACTGTCAGTCAATCAGATATATGGCATATGTTCATCCTATTTCGTAGTTGAATTTAACCACAATAAATTGAGTATTACTTACGCTTTAATCGAATTTCGCATATCCTTGCTTCCCAAAAGATATTCTTATCGAGGGTAGAGTACATTTTAGAAGAAATGAAGACCAAGATGTTGTGGTCTTTGGTATGGTCGCAGTCTCCTTTCGATTTATAGAAGTATGTTAACCTCGATGTCGCAATTTGGCCTTGTTGTCAGAGAGACTTAGTAGAACGTACTTAGTCCGAAGTAGTCTGCCATAGTCGTTGTCATGATTCCCAGCATCAGACAATGGACTTGGTACATTCTCAAACGTTTCGCCGGCATCGTAGTACGCATCATCAGTGAGTTTTGCCATTCTCCGCACTAAGCTATGAACTCGTCAAAAAGACAAATGAAGTCAATCCATCGACAAACGTTCTAAGGAAAACGGTTACACTATCACTGCTTTTTCTGTCCTAGTCTATCTATCTACTCTTTACCCTCTTATCCAACTCCCGCCCTATCACAACTTCTCACTTGTTTACATTCCGCTCGTCAAAATGTGTGCCCTTTTGTGGCAAATCTAGTGTGGCCTCATCACACTTGCCATTTAACCCGACCCCTCTCTTTCGATCTAAAGATCCGACTCGGGCCTCCAATCCGGATCCCCTCATTGTCTCGTAGATCTGTTCTTTATCTTTCTGATTGACCGATATCACTCGGTTCCAGTCCCTGTGTGCATTTCACTCCAGGCGCTGTTTCTCAAGACCCTAGAAGCACGTACACTGCCGCTTCACTGAGTAGAAGGCCTAAGCTCTGATTGCCATGCTTGCAGATATCAGGCCTTCCCTTCACGGGTCCTCACCTTGATTAAACCCACATTATCTGAGCAGACTGTGGACGCCTATCTCTGGTCGCATGCGGCATCTCAAGTGGATTTCTACTACATTTTAGCCATAAAGCCGAATTTTTGTGACGGTTTGCTTACCCGTCTGCCCAGCTCCCTGACTGTCAGGTCCCCAAAGTTGTAGTGATTTATTCTAAATGGACATCACTCACTGACAACGTCTTCACTTGATTGCCCAAACCCTTTCCCCTCACTTTCTTCGTCGATATCCCTTTTCCTCCGGTTAGCGATAGATACTGATCCAGGCGTCTCATTTTTGCTGGTGTTGCTCTATTCTTGTTTTCCCCGGGTTTGTCGCTAACTATACCTTCCTCCAATCTCCTGTTCATTAGATTGGTCTCATCAAGCATGACAATGGCCTCCCTAATGTTCTGCTTCCTTGTGTTGTCACCGTATGGGGCTCTTCTTTCTGTTGCCTTTTAATTGATCTCGTGTATAGTCTGTGCGATGTATTCCGCTAGTTCTGATCTTTCGGTATCCATTTTCCTGCAGAGCCTCTGATGTTCCTTGATTCGTGTGCTGATTTTTCTCCGTTCCGCCAATATATTCCTGTTCACAGGCGCCGCATGATATACAGTAAACCACTGAACAATCAAATTTGTCTCCCCTTTCATGTTGCGTTGGTAGACTTGTGAAAGGTGTTGATTTCTCTTTCATGGCCATCTAAATATTCCATTTACTCAATATTGGCCGAAGGATTCACAAAAGTGAATATGCCAACTTTCCTGTGAGCTAACTCAAGAACTACGGCCAATATTGAGTAAATGGAATATTCACGTAGCCATGAAAGAGAAATCAACACTTTACACAAGTCTACCAACGCAAAATGAAAGGGTAGACAAATTGGATTATTCAGGGGTTTGATGCATATCAAGCGGTGCCTGGAAACATAAATGTTGGCGAAACAGGGAGAAAAATTAACATACGAATCAAGTAACATTAAAGGTTATGCAGGAAAATGGATACCGAATGATCAGAACTAGCGGAACACATCGCACAGACTTGACACGAGATAAACTGACAGGTAACAGAAATAAGCGGAAGAATAGGGAAGCCATTGACATGCTTGGGTAGAAAAATCGAATGAACATGATATTGCAGGAATGTAGAGTCAGCGATACCTTTTCTCACTGCCTAAGCAAACTCGGGGAAAACAAGAACACAGCAAGACCAGCAAAAAAGAGACACCTGGATCAAGGGTATATCGCTAACCTGAGGAAAAAAGATCGCGATAAGAAATGGGGGGCTGGGATTTTCTGCAATCAAACGAAGACGTCAGTGAATTATATTTGTCCGAATAAACCAGTATAACTTTGGGGACCTGGCAGTCAAGTAGCTAGGCAGACGAATAAGCAAACCATCACAAAAATTAGGTGTTATGTCCAAAATCTACTATAAATCCACTTGATATGCCGCATGCGAACAGAGATAGGCATCCACAGTTTTCTCAGGTAACACGGGTTTAATCAAGGAGACGACCTTTGAAGGAAATGCCTGATATCAGCAAGCATGGCAATCAGAGCCTAGGCACTTTGCTCGTTGAAGCGGTAGTGTACATGCTTCTAGGGCCTTGAGAAATAGCACATGGAGTAAAAGCACATTGGGACTGGAACTGTGTTAAACCGATCAACCAGAAAGATAATGAACATGAGGGGCTCGGGATAGTAGGCCCGAGTCGGATTAGCCGATTGAAAGAGACGGGGTCGGGGTGAGTAGTAGGTGTGATGAGACCACACTAGATTTGCCAAAAATGGGCACACATTTTGACGAGTGGAATGTAAACAAGTCAAAGTTATAATAGGGCGGGAGTTGGATATGGGGAAAAGAGTAGGTAGATAGGCCAGGACAGAAAGGAGTGATAGTGAAACCGTTTTTTGGCAGAATGTTGATCGAGAGATTGACTTCACCTATCTCTGACGCGTTCGTAGCTTGGTGCAGAGAATAGAAACATTCACTGATGATTTCGATTAATATGCCGGCGAAAAGTATGAGAATGCAACAAGTCCACGGGCTGATGCTGGGAATTATGATAACTAGTATGGCCGAAGACTTCAGAGAAAATGAGTTCTTCTAAGTTGCCCTAACAACAGGACAGAGTTGCGAAAGCGATGTCAACCCATTTTTAAAATTCGAAAGGAGACTGCGACCATACCGGGGGCAACACCATCTTGGCCTTCATATCTTCGATTAAACTACCATAGCACTAATATTATAGCACTCTGAGGTCAGGGAAGGACTCACAGCTGTCAGTGCTATCAGACTGCAGCTCGTAAGAACAGGAATCTAATTTAGTTATCTCTTATTACTATGTCTCTTAATTTTGCCCCGAGGAGATATATCTATTCAAATTGTGCTTCCTAAGAAAGCATACGTAGAAATACTTAAAATGGCTGAAAAAATCCCATCAAATGGACTTTTGTCCCTTCTGCTACCCATGAACCTGTCTACGGCATTAATCGTGCACTATAATTTGAATTGTTCTAGAATAGCAACGAACAGTCAAACGAACTTTTGCATTTTTAGCTCATCCATAAGCAGGGTCAGCATAGATGTGAAAATGGACATATGGAACGATGAGTTATATTCTGGGGCTAGATGTGACAAATATTTACCTCAGCTTCGTCACGCTCCCCACGCAATCGCCTGCCCCACTCTTTGATTCCGGCTTCCAAACGCAATATAAGTCGACGCTCCACATCTTCATCTAGTTTGGCCACCCAGTGTTGAAGATTGGAATACTGATGTAGGTTAAGATCATCTACTGCTTTCTGAATTTTTCCTGTTTTGAGTAACAAGTTAAATGAAAAGCGAATTTTCATAATCTGTAATAAGATGAAGCTGAAGAGAAAAATTAAAAAGCCGCTACTTCCAAAAAACTATTTTTCAGTAAGATAGACATTGGCAAAGTTAGACTAAATTGCTTCTAGGGTAGCGAGTGTTCGCAAAGGTCATTCCAAAAAAAATATTGTTGCGTGTATCTGCTATGTATATATACGAAGAGAAATCGGGGTTCGATAAATCTCCTGAGATAAAATTGTTGGAGGGACTTTCATTTCGTATAAAATTGCATGAAGAAGAGATTCGTAGTTCGATCTCACCAGAAAAGGACGGATGTATCCCGTTGTACTGCAGCCATTTGGCTTTTACACGATGTTCAGGTTGACGCAATCCACAAGACTTCCTCCCTCATTTCGGATGAAAAGGGCCTGAGCTTTCGTTCATCATATGATGTACATCATAAGAGCTGGGTCTCATTCATGTAAAAGTCTCACGTTAACACTATGGCAAAAAGACTATCCAGATTTATCTTACCTCTTATATGGACTCAATAAGGCCAAAAGAAAATTAAAAACCTAGATAGATGGATATAGTATGTGTATAGACGCTAACACACACACACACACTCACTCGAGCAAAAGTAGCAGGGCTAGTATAAAAGATAATTCGCCAAACCACTCTATATCTATCTATCTATCTAGGTTTTTTATTTTATTTTGGCTTAATTGAGTCTATATAAGAGGTAAGATAGAGCCGGATAGTCTACTTGCCCTAGATTTAACGTGAGACCCAGCTCTGATGATGTACATCATATTATGGAACAAAGCTCAGCCAGTTTTTACCCGAAACGATGGAGGTCTCGTGGACTGCGGCAACCTGAATGTGTATAAAAACAAAATAGCTGCAGTACAACTGGATTCATCTGTCCTCTTCTGGTGAGATCGACCTACGAATCTCTTCTTTATGCACCTTCATACGAAATGAAAGTTCCCCCCAACAATATGTATATATAGCCTATCTGGTTAACTAAAAATGGAGAATACACAGATTATTAGATTGGCGTTAAAAGGTGACATCGTAATTGTGCAATTAAGTAAACGAAACAATAATATATTTCCTAAAGAGTACCAATAAGAAGTCCTATTATCACAAACGACTAGAATTATATCTCAGGCAAGGATTAGTTACGCAAGTTCATCCGACTCAACACTAACAACCAATTCTTACACAGCTGTAACAACGGCTGGATGGGGTGTAGATAGGTCTGCTATAGGCTATATGGCCCCTAAATGGGAAGATAAGACAGAAGTAAGATCATTAA